GTGGCGGTGGCATCGTCGACCATCGTGTGAGGGTGGTCGCAAGTGGCGGGTTTTGAGTGTAAATTTGATTTCCCCATACGAATTTGTGATTTTAATGGTGTGACCTGAGTTGTGACCTAGACTGGCAGTTGTGACTTGGACTGTGACCTGTGACCTGGACCGTGACCTGGGTTATGACTTGTGTTCTGAGTCGTCGGAATCGGAGCAGTCGCCGGAACGATCGTTGGAGAGGTCGTCGGAGCGGTGGGGTGATGGAGGTGGGGGTGGGTGGATTAATTATATATATTTATTTATATCTTTTTATATATTTGTATATATAAATAAATATTTATATGTATGTGTATATATATGTCAAATTCTCTGATTTTAGAAAAGTGAAAGATGTTTTGTCATTTTTGAAATAGGCCAAAGAAAACATCTGAAAACTGAATTTTTCCCATAATTATATGATTGACATAGGAATAAAAATACATTTAGCTCGAATATAATTTATCTAAATTTGCATATCTTCAACTAACCATACAACTTTTGTAAGCCCAATTAATATATGTTTACTGGGCTGTTGTGTTTTTCTTGGATACAATAGATCAGCCCATGCCCATTTCAAAACGAGATAAGTAGGCTGGGCCATGTTTTATTTAAGGGAAAAAAAATCATAAATACATGTGAAATATAAAAGATTACATATTATACCAAAATATTCATTTATATACAAAATTATACTGTATGACCCCCAAAATAACACCCAAATTACTGATTCTGAAACTTTCTCATTTTTGATTTGTAACTGAAAATTGAAATGGCAATGTTTACGCTGTACATTAATTATAACAAAAATGCAAATTTAAATTATACATGATTTTCGATTCTACAAGAATATCAGAAAGGGAATTCTGGGCAATGTTCGTCTCCAATTGAGGATTTAATTCCAATATTCATTCCTCGTCGAAGAATATAGAATCTTTGCTTGTGCAGTTGATTTGTGTATTGAATCTACCTCAAGCAAATCTTTGCTTGTGCAGTTGATTTGTGTATTGAATCTACCTCAAGCAAATCTTATTTATTGAAATCAAGTTAGTATCCATGAATCAATAATAATTCATTTTGGGAAATATTATGTAACTCGGAAAATAGTCTTTCCATGTGAATCTTCCACTTGCTTCGATGATTTTTTTCCTAATTATGTCACGTCGCTTCTCATCAACTTTTATATATATCATTGTATGTGGAAAATAAGTTCGAATAATGTATAAACCACGATTTATGCTATGACAAAACTATTTAACAAGAGTAAGTGCCAACTGTTATATAGAGATTGAGGTAAATTATCACTTGTTTGGCCAACTTCCTTGATGATATTTTTACTAATAGGCCAAAATGATATTTTTAACATTCCAATGTCTCTTTGTTCTTCCCGTAGCATCGAGTAAACTGTTAGACAAAGCCAATTAAGCTTAACTTGTAGTGCCTTCATTTCTTCATACACATTCAAGCACCCATCAAAAATTCTTGATGCCTCGTAAATCTTAACAAACGATGAGAATGTGACAATGTTAAACACGTCACTTCTCAATCCTTGCATGATCATACAAACTCATAGCCATATCCACATTTCCTACCTTCCCATATGCATCAATCATCACCAAGTAAGTCACCTCATCAAGCTCACACCCAAAAGATGACATTTTTTACTAACAATTCAAGAGCCTTTACAGGTAATGAACACACCCTAGGACAGCTAATTATGACCGAGAAAGTAAAAACTGTCAACCTTAACCCCTCTCTCAAACATTTGATTAAACAATTTTTTTGCCACATCAAAATCCCAACATTTCTTAAAAATCCAAATTTTCGTCAAAATCCCTACATTTCCTACATTTTAGAGACTTGCAAATTCTTCTTCAGAATTCTACATATTGGGGGTTCACCCATCTGCATCTTCTGGTTGGGAGCCATGTTTGTACGACGAAGAATCGGTGTGTGTATAACAGAAACAAATATTTTTTGGATGGAAAATATGGTGGAATTACAGGTTGAGATACGATTTGCATGGTTCTTGGAGTATATTGAAGATTTTCTTGGTTCAATGATTTAAGTAAAGATGGGAGATTGGGAATTATTGGGGCGTGAATTGGGGATGAGTCATGAGGCGTGTTTGGTGGAATGATTTTAGCTTTTAATATATTAAATTAAATATAGGATTGATGATATTTTTCAATTGTCATTTATACTACATATATTGCAACATATTTGGATAAAAAAAAGTTTGGAAACGTAAAAAATGAACATTTAATAAATTTGAGGCACGAGGTAACATTTCATAAAGTGGAAATTATGCCCACACATAGGTTTCAAATTTTCAATTCAAAAATCGGATTTAAAAGTTTTTTATTCAAAAATCAAGTCGTCGTCGTGCAGCGGTGAACGCAATGGTTTTGGGTTTGTTTCTTCCTCCTCCGATCAACTACTTAGCTAGAGTTTTTCGTAATTTTTGTTGGTAATTGTTGGTGGTTTGCAAATGGTGATGCTGGTGTTGGCGGTGATAGTAAGGTGGTGATAGTTCTTCTGATGGTGATACTAGCGACGATGGAGAGGTGGTGATCACAAATGATGGCGTGGTGTTAGCGGTGATGGTGAGGTAGCGGGCCGTTCGGTTGGTGTTGGTGGTGAATTTGGGTTGGGTTGGGTTGGGTTGAGATTAAGAGTGTTTGTGACCAATTATATGGGTGATTGTGAACAATTTGTTAAGTTGTGATCACTTAATTTGACAATTTTTAATCGTGAAATAAGAAGTAACTTATAAATTTGTGATTTGTGACAAAAAAAAAAAAAAATTACCTACTAATTTAATAATTTGTGACCGTAAAATAAGTTGTGATTTATAAATTTCAAAATTTATATATTTAATTACGACCAGAATTTTGAAATTTTAAAACAAATTTCTTAATTTTGAAACTGTATCTTTCAAACCCTTGAGATATCTATTGTTCCCTTATTTAAAATACTCTTTAACTAGTTAACTTGGGTTGATTATTAAAAAATAAATAAATAAAATCATGTTTTCTATTCGTAGGACTTAGAATACATCACCCCACAATAGCGTTTGTGGGCTGCCGACATCGCCCACTTATCCAAATGCTAAGCCGCTGAAGTAGGAGAGAATGGTGGATTAAATTGATTCCACGAATTCATCAGTGGAGGAATTGCAATTCAGTGTATCCTTATTAGA